TCTTCTATACTTTGTTATATTTTTCTTTGATACTAGCAATGAATCATGTGCATTGCATGTAAATAATTTTCGTATACAAAATATTAATAAAAAATATTATATATATATATATGTGATTTGTTCAATTTCGGATGGGTGTTTGAGAAAGAGAGAGAANCAATGAATCATGTGCATTGCATGTAAATAATTTTCGTATACAAAATATTAATAAAAAATATTATATATATATGTGATTTGTTCAATTTCAGATGGGTGTTTGAGAAAGAGAGAGAAGGAAAGAGAGAGAAGATAAAAGTTTTCAAACTAGACAGTGGGAGAGAGAAGCTAAAAGGTTTTTTAACTGATTTGTATGACGATTGGAGAATTTTTGTCTCGTTTTCTGATAGATAGAACTTGTTCAAAAACAAGGTTAAACAAAAGAAAATTAAGAGACATAATTGATGTCGCTGTCTGCTCACTTTTTCTAGCGGCAGATAATCATATGGTGGAGGATAGAAAAAGGTGGAAAGTATATTACTTGTTATAAATAATGTTATAAATTATAGTTAATACATAATGGAAGAGTCATGACCCTCTGTCTACCTAATTTTCTTTATTGTGAATAATAATTAATACACTACACGAAAAATGTTTTTTAGCAGCAAAAAAAATCGTCACTAACAATGAATAATTCGCCACTAAAATTTTTTGCGACAAAAAAATTTGGTTGCCAATTTAGCTGGCAGGTTCGCCACTAAAAGTTTTTGACGACCAACTAAAGTATCGTCATTAAAATAGATTATCAGTGACAAAAAACTTAGTCGTTTAAAAATTCATCTACTTGTCACGAAAAAATCTGTCACCGAAAGAAATTATATTATGATCATATTTTTTCTCTTTGGTGATGACATAATATTTGTCGTTAAAAATCAAGGTACATTTTTTGCGACTAATATTTTTTTGAGGTCAAATAACAAATGAACAAATTTTATAAACGAGTAATATGACACGACTTGAACTTAATAAATTTTAATACTCCATTTTTTTTACTGTTACTTGAACTTACTTAAAAAAAAGTGAAATTTTTAGTCAAATCTCACATAAAAATCAAACTTTAAAGTTAAAAAAAAAAAGACAAGAGACCGCTGCCTTTTATAGGCAAGTCAGCCCTCCCTATCTCACCTCATTTGTTGATGTGGGACAAAAATAAAATATATTGGTTTGCCTTTGTCTTTGAACTGCTCCCCATCTTCCCTCTTTTTGTCTTTGAACTACTGTTTTACTTTTTTTTTGTATTGATTTCTTTACATCTTTTTTTTGGCTAATTTTTTAAAATAATTATTAATTTATTATTATTACATTAATTTTATTTCAACGAGTAAACGTGTAATAAATGACTTGACAGTTCTCACCCAAACACAATATGTAGAATTTTTTTTTTTGTGACAATTTTTCTTACACGTCGCAAAAAGTTGTCGTAGTAAATTTTTTTTCTTGTAGTGATATTCTGCGACCAAATATAAATTGTCGCCAAGCAAAAAATAATTTTAACTTTTTTTTCTGCGACAAACATGTATTGTCGCTAAGTATTACTCCCTCCGTTCCTAAATATTTGTCGTTTAAAGTTTTTGCATAGGGATTAAAGAAGTTATTAAATAGCTCTACTATAAGTAAAAAATAATTGCACAAGACTAAAATATTCTTATTCAATACGTATTGGGAAGGAAAAGAATATGAAAGACACTTAACCTACACTTAATTTATTAAGCACTTATTAGAAAACAGATATAAGGGTAAATTTGAAAAAAAAAATATTAATTATGTTTTGGTTTCATAAAATGACAGATATTGTGGAATAAAAAAAATTGTATAAAACGACAGATATTTAGGAACAGAATGAATATTATTTTTGTTTTCTTATTTTTCGTTATTTGACAAAAATTTTGCAACTGAAAAAATTATTTTGGAGACAATTTTTTTTTATCGCCCATAAAATTAGCATTTAGCACCAACATTGGCGCCAATTTTTTTTTTGGAGGGAACATTTTTGTGAAGACTATTGGCGACAACTACAAAAAATGATTGCAAAAAAAATCGCAAAAAGTTTATCCCGAGAAACATTTGAAATTGTTGCCGAAAATTACTTTTTTACAATAAATTTTATTATTCGTCGCTAAAAAACTAATTTGTTGTAGTGATATCAATGTACATATTATTCTGATCTTTTTATCNAAAACTTGTCGCTAAAAAACTAATTTGTTGTAGTGATATCAATGTACATATTATTCTAATCTTCTTTTGTGATCTATACATATAATTGTGATTTATAGTTATCTTATTCCATAGTTCTTCATTGAAATCTATTATTTTTTGTCCCAAAAATATTTAATTCTTGTTTAAATGGTCCCTAACAAGGTCCATTAAATTTATTTACGAAAGTGACCACGTGTCAATCCGTTAAACAGTATCATGTGATCAGCACGTGATCACTTATGTCAAAAACTTAACAGGTTGTCTGCGCATGAATTATTTAAACATTAGCTAAATACTCTAGGAATCAAATTGACGAAATTGATATAATGAAAACCAAACTGACAAAACATGCATATTTTAAGGACTAAAAGTGCTATTAAGTCTAAATTATAATATATTACTTTATAATATATATTTTAAAAGAATATTAAAATTCTAAAATTCAAATTTTACTTAAAAATACACTATAATTGTTTTATATAGCCCCTTAATAAAACATGAAAATGTTACTATGATAGAAGAATTATGTTGATTTAACATAAATTATTTTAAAAAATATCTAAAAGATTTTTTTTTTATCTTAAAAATAAAATGGTTGAAAGTTTGGATAAAAAAAATACACATTTTGAAACATAAAGTTATCTTTATATTTGAAATGAGTAATATTGTATTGATGAAATTTTTGAAGATTTTTTGAACGTTTTATTGAAAATTATAGTGATGCATATATTTTTTAAAACTAACAAAATCAATTAAAAAGTTTCATGAATATTAATATTTACATATAGTAAATAGAGAATTAAAAGAGATGTCAGGGATAATTTTGAGATTTAAACACATAAATATATAAAGGTAATTTAGATATTCAACTACGGAAGAATAGTGTGGTATTTAAAATTCTTTATAAAAGTAAAATAGTGAATCAAAATTTTTTCATACTAAGACAAAAGTTTCATTCTTTATTAATAGTATAGATGGAAAAACATACATGTATATAAGCATAATGTTATCTTCTTTTTTGAAAAATATAATGAAATATTGATGAAGTTTTTGAACACTTTATTAAAAACTATTATAATATATATTTTGAGGGTAACGTAGTCGATTAAAATTTTTCATAAATATTGATATTTATACAAAGATAATAGAGAATTAAAAGAGATGTTAGAAGGTAATTTGGATATTTAAATACATAAGAATGTAATTGTAATTTAGATATTTGACTATTGAAAGATAGTATGGTATTTAAAATTTTCTATGAGAGTAAAATAATGAATCAGAAGTTTTTCACTTAAATTACTTTTATTAGCAGTATAAATTTGTACCTAACATCAAAAAAGTCTTAAAATCATAGAAAACTCTAATATACACTTGAAAACTCATATTGGGTTGTGTTCGAGCTCTACTATTTCAAACTGAGCTGTGAATTCTATAGTACTTGAGGGTGTAAAAATCGAGAAACATGAGGGAGAAAAACTGAATGAGCACTTGATGAGGAGTGTTAGACGAGTAATACAAAGTGAATAAGAATGTATAAAGAAATTAAATGGTTTGCCCATGTAAAGAGCAGATTTAATCTATTGTAGTAGAGGTTTTTGCTCCCTAACGATGTATTGGATAAGGAAAAAGAAGGTTATAGACTAGGGTTTCTTGCTTATGGCCCAAACCAATGTATATGCATGCTTTTTCCACAAAATAATGGTGCAATCTTAACAAACTTGTCAACGAATATCTAAAGGAATATTTGGCCATTAAAGACTTTCCAACTAGATGTGACGTGACTTTTTAGAAACGATATGTGGTCTTCTAAAGGTGGTGACTTCTTGTCCATGGTAGGTTTTGCGGATGAGAATCATCTTTTACCTTGCCTGGTGATTCCCAAGCTATTAGTTGTCATCAAAGCATTTATGACAAACCTAGCCGGTTTAAGTCCAAGTTGGTATGTATGTAATTAGAATTAACCACTAATAATAAAATCTAAATCTATTAAGTATACTGTCATATGCTAACTATTTAATCAAAATAGAATGCTAATAACTAGAAATTGAAACAATGCACTTATAGTGATGCAAAATATAAAGTATAGAAATAATCCAGAAAATTAAAGATAATTCAAGCTCTGTATAATCATAGTTTGCTTGAGACAGATTTACTCTCTTTTGATATTTAAGGTTGATAAGCAATTGTCTCTCAAAATAAAACAAATTTCGTACTTGAAGATACGTCACTTTAATCTTCAAGATACTAGCTAACACAATTTTGTGTTTATACTTGAACTGAACAAAAAAAGACTAATGTAACAATATGCACAGAGAAAGAGATAAAAAAAAAACTTTGAATACTGAATTCATAATTATGATGGATTGAAAATAGTTTAAACACAGTTTATTTATAGACTCTTAGTGGTTGTTCAGATTGCCTGAGAAGGCATGTGATATTACAGTTCGAATTGAAGAGACACATTCTTTTAAACTAAACAGACAAAAGACACATTTGGAATTCTAGAATGAACACATCCAATGTCAATGCCAAATTCAAAGTAATAGACAAAAAATTTAAAAATGCATTTGGAATTTAAATTTTAGTTGAGAATTTAATTACGATCCATGTTCAAATAAGTCACTTTAAGATATAATTTTTCATTCAATATTTTATAATTTTAAACAAATAAATATACGATATTCATCTCCTTGTGGAGGAGAACGAGTTTAAACTCAGTCCTAGTAATTTTAAAGTGTGAGTTTCACTTTTATTTAAATTTTAAGTTGCTCAAATAAATTTATTTAAATTCCAATAGTGACCAGGGTAGCCAACCTAACCCGCATGGCCCGAACAATATATTTTCTTTCGGCATCATCAGTTAGTTATTAAACACAACATTTAGCTAATTGACAAAAATTAAAAACTGCATTTATTCTTTTGTCCTATTTACGATGGGCTAAATATTTTTCATAAAAAGTGATATCCTCCATTCCAATTGCGGGACCCACATTCTTTTCAAGTAGGGTCTCGTCACATCCTGATAATAGACTACACTAGAAGACTATAATAAGCTACTTCACCTTGCACAAGTCGGTCACCGTGAAGGCCAAAAATCTGGACCCCACCCGAAGAGCATTCACTTTCTCAACGTCCAACGGGATTCAAGATCTCGGAGAACACAGTCTCCGACTTCAATCTCTCACTGCTGACCGTTGATCTTGACATGTTTTCGACTGACGCAGTAAATACTTCATCATCATCGGTGGTCGTTGCCTCTCCATGTAGAAGAGGAACAGAGGGACTGGCCAACGCCGCCGGGAGCAACCAACCACCACCGTGAGCCATCTTCTCAGCAGCCTCTTGAAGTTGCAGAGCAAATTCAAGGCCCCACACAACATCATTCATTCCTGGACGATCGATCCCATTATCACGCAAGCAACTTTCACCTACTTCGCCAAACTTCCTCAAACACTCTGGCGCAATCTCACCCTTTAGATTAGTATCAATAATCCGATCAAGGGTCCCTTTTCTATAAGAATTTCGGGCCCACTCAGCCAAACTCACTTGCTCCTTGGGAAAATTTGGAATTATAGCTGGTCTAGCACACAAAACCTCAAATAAAACAACCCCAAATGAGTACACATCAGATTTTTCTGTCAATTGTTGTCGTTTATAATATTCTGGATCAACATACCCGAAACTACCCTTCACCACTGTACTGACATGGCTATGACCCACATCCTTGGGACCCAATTTGGATAACCCGAAATCAGAAACCTTAGCTACCCATTTCTCATCCAATAAAATGTTGGTGGATTTCACATCACGGTGAATGATTGTGCGTGTTGCACCTGTGTGGAGATAATGCAGTCCCCTTGCTGCACCAATGCAAATCTGAAGGCGTTGCTTCCACGGAAGGTGTTGTTTCTTCGATTTGTAAAGATGATCACGAAGGGTTCCATGGGCCATATAATCATACACCAAAATCATCTCACGGTTGTCATTGCAATAACCGATCAACGACACCAAATGGAGGTGGCGTAACTTTGATAGCATACCGATCTCTGTTTGGAACTCGTGGATCCCTTGATTTGATGATGGGTTCAATCGTTTGATCGCAACAGTGGTTGCACCGTTGTCGATGTGGCCCTTATACACGTTACCAAATCCCCCTGCCCCGATGACAAAATTGTCATCGAAGTTGCATGTAGCTGATGTGATCTCCTCAAGTGAAAAGCGTCTACATAGATCAGACGGTAGTGATGAACCGCTGGTTTTTGTGGACTTTGAACCGTCAGATAAGGGGACCCACGACGACTTGGGCTGTGTTGAGCCCAAGTCTTTCACTCTCCTCCGTCGTCGGACAATCAAGAAACCTAAGATAAAGACCAGAACAGACCCTCCTCCGACTACGCTACCGATAATAACCGGCAAAGTAGATGTTTTTTTATTGTTCTTCTTCTGCGGTGACAATGGGAATGGTCCTGGCGGTGGACTGAGTACAAGTTCAGGGTTTGCCCCGGCGAGACTGTCGTCTGTTCCACTCAATTTGAAGATTTCCAAACCATTCAATATAGCATCAGCGTACTGAGGTTTAAAGTCGAGCTCNTGGTTTTGGATTGATTCCTGGGCGGCTATAACGCGTTCTCAAGTCAGCTTCGTACTTCTCTCCCCAAGGCCTACTTTTCCAATTCATCAATGATATTTGGGAGAATTACACTAGGGCTCACTATATTTATTGCCTAATCACTCAAATTTTTTAATATTTAAAATATTATACGAGTAATGTTATTAAAATATAATTTATAAACATAATTTAAAGATATAATGAATTATCACTAATAATATGATAATAAATTCATTAATGCTACAATAAGATCTATCATTAAATATATTTTACTATCATTTCATTGGTGACAACTAATTATATTTCTAAATTATGTCCTAATAGCATTAGTAATATTATATACAGACCCTTCAAAGTTTATACGCGAATAACACTTAAATTCCTGTTGTCTAGTATATCTGTTAGTAAATTACAACAACACTTACTGAAGTTTGTAGATATGTAATATTTAGACCCCTCAATTTTATAAAANGCATTAGTAATATTATATACAGACCCTTCAAAGTTTATACGCGAATAACACTTAAATCCCTGTTGTCTAGTATATCTGTTAGTAAATTACAACAACACTCACTGAAGTTTGTAGATATGTAATATTTAGACCCCTCAATTTTAAAAAGTTATAATTAAACTAAAAAAACTTCAATCAAAGATAGAATATCAAATATTTTAAATTTATAACCAAAATTTTTATTCTATTATGACACTTATTAAAATAAGATTAAAAATAAAAATCAATTTTTTTCTTAAAAAATCATAATTACTATATAATTATTCTATCTATTAGAATTTAATTTGGTCATTTAAACGTCCAAATTAAATTATCAGACTACCCCAATTAAAGTTAGAATATATTGATTTCATTACAGATTGACTCCTATTTTATTTTTTAGTTTTATTCTAGTAGATAATATAATTGTACACTAAATAAGATTTTTTAAGAAAAAATTAAATTTTTATTTTTATAAATGACATAATATAACATAATTTTTTTTGTCCTATTATGAATGACTTAGAACCCTTGTTTGATTTTTTAATTTTATTCCAATAGATAATATAATTATATACTAATTACGATTTTTTTTAAAAATTGACTTTTTATTTTTAATTTTATTTCAGTAAATAATACAATAGAACATGAATTTTGGTTATAAAATTTAAAATATTTAATATTTTATCTTTAATTGAAATATTTTTGGTATAAGTATAACATTTTAAATTTGAGGGATCTAAATATTATACACCTACAAATTTTAGAAAGTATATGTGTAATTTACTAACAAATATATTAATAGACAACAAGAGTTTAAATGTTATGCGCATATAAATCAGGGGATTTATATGTAATATTTTAAATTTCAGGAGATCTGAGAGATTAAATGATAAATTTTAGAGAGTCCATGATATTTTAATGGGAGTTCAAGTGAGCCACTTTTAGACAATTTCTATTGAATTTGAGAAATATTATTTAGACTTAAAAAATTAATATAATTTATTGATATAATGATGTATTCGTCGTAGAGTTTCAAAAATAAAATTTAAAAGTTTTGGTCACAATAACATTATTAAACTACGTCATTATCACATTATTGGTCAACAAAGTAGGTTAATTTTCTAAATGACAATAGTATTACTAATTGAGTTCAACTCAAAAGTTAATTTAAGAATAATGTTATTGAGATTTAAAAATTTTGACTTAATTTGTTATCCTAATAACGTGACTTCATTTTAACCGTTAGATTAACACCAAGTTCTAATATTTAATGAGATCTACAGTTAACTCAATGATTATAGTGAATTAAATCAATAAAATAGATCAAGAAATTACGTCTCACTAACATTCTCGAGACTCTATCGTACTGGTTGTTCTCTCAGGGGTTAATAAAGCCAAGGGATTTGATTACTATTGCAAAAAAAATATTCAAGGTTGATAAGCAATTGTCTCTCAAAATAAAACAAATTTCTNTTTTTATAAATGACATAATATAACATAATTTTTTTGTCCTATTATGAATGACTTAGAACCCTTGTTTGATTTTTTAATTTTATTCCAATAGATAATATAATTATATACTAATTACGATTTTTTAAAAAAATTGACTTTTTATTTTTAATTCNAATTTTTATTTTTATAAATGACATAATATAACATAATTTTTTTGTCCTATTATGAATGACTTAGAACCCTTGTTTGATTTTTTAATTTTATTCCAATAGATAATATAATTATATACTAATTACGATTTTTTTTAAAAATTGACTTTTTATTTTTAATTTTATTTCAGTAAATAATACAGTAGAACATGAATTTTGGTTATAAAATTTAAAATTTTTGNCTTTTAAACTAAACAGACAAAAGACACATTTGGAATTCTAGAATGAACACATCCAATGTCAATGCCAAATTCAAAGTAATAGACAAAAAATTTAAAAATGCATTTGGAATTTAAATTTTAGTTGAGAATTTAATTACGATCCATGTTCAAATAAGTCACTTTAAGATATAATTTTTCATTNATATTTTATCTTTAATTGAAATATTTTTGGTATAAGTATAACATTTTAAATTTGAGGGATCTAAATATTATACACCTACAATTTTTAGAAAGTATATGTGTAATTTACTAACAAATATATTAATAGACAACAAGAGTTTAAATGTTATTGNAATTGACTTTTTATTTTTAATTTTATTTCAGTAAATAATACAGTAGAACATGAATTTTGGTTATAAAATTTAAAATATTTAATATTTTATCTTTAATTGAAATATTTTTGGTATAAGTATAACATTTTAAATTTGAGGGATCTAAATATTATACACCTACAAATTTTAGAAAGTATATGTGTAATTTTCTAACAAATATATTAATAGACAACAAGAGTTTAAATGTTATGCGCATATAAATCAGGGGATTTATATGTAATATTTTAAATTTCAGGAGATCTGAGAGATTAAATGATAAATTTTAGAGAGTCCATGATATTTTAATGGGAGTTCAAGTGAGCCACTTTTAGACAATTTCTATTGAATTTGAGAAATATTATTTAGACTTAAAAAATTAATATAATTTATTGATATAATGATGTATTCGTCGTAGAGTTTCAAAAATAAAATTTAAAAGTTGTGGTCACAATAACATTATTAAACTATGTCATTATCACATTATTGGTCAACAAATTAGGTTAATTTTCTAAATGACAATAGTATTACTAATTGAGTTCAACTCAAAAGTTAATTTAAGAATAATGTTATTGAGATTTAAAAATTTTGACTTAATTTGTTATCCTAATAACGTGACTTCATTTTAACCGTTAGATTAACACCAAGTTCTAATATTTAATGAGATCTACAGTTAACTCAATGATTATAGTGAATTAAATCAATAAAATAGATCAAGAAATTACGTCTCACTAACATTCTCGAGACTCTATCGTACTGGTTGTTCTCTCAGGGGTTAATAAAGCCAAGGGATTTGATTACTATTGCAAAAAAAATATTTAAGGTTGATAAGCAATTGTCTCTCAAAATAAAACAAATTTCTTACTTGAAGATACGTCACTTTAATCTTCAAGATACTAGCTAACACAATTTTGTGTTTATACTTGAACTGAACAAAAAAAGACTAATGTAACAATATGCACAGAGAAAGAGATAAAAAAAAACTTTGAATACTGAATTCATAATTATGATGGATTGAAAATAGTTTAAACACAGTTTATTTATAGACTCTTAGTGGTTGTTCAGATTGCCTGAGAAGGCATGTGATATTACAGTTCGAATTGAAGAGACACATTCTTTTAAACTAAACAGACAAAAGACACATTTGGAATTCTAGAATGAACACATCCAATGTCAATGCCAAATTCAAAGTAATAGACAAAAAATTTAAAAATTCATTTGGAATTTAAATTTTAGTTGAGAATTTAATTACGATCCATGTTCAAATAAGTCACTTTAAGATATAATTTTTCATTCAATATTTTATAATTTTAAACAAATAAATATACGATATTCATCTCCTTGTGGAGGAGAACGAGTTTAAACTCAGTCCTAGTAATTTTAAAGTGTGAGTTTCACTTTTATTTAAATTTTAAGTTGCTCAAATAAATTTATTTAAATTCCAATAGTGACCAGGGTAGCCAACCTAACCCGCATGGCCCGAACAATATATTTTCTTCCGGCATCATCAGTTAGTTATTAAACACAACATTTAGCTAATTGACAAAAATTAAAAACTGCATTTATTCTTTTGTCCTATTTACGATGGGCTAAATATTTTTCATAAAAAGTGATATCCTCCATTCCAATTGCGGGACCCACATTCTTTTCAAGTAGGGTCTCGTCACATCCTGATAATAGACTACACTAGAAGACTATAATAAGCTACTTCACTTTTTAGAAGTGAGTCAACGAGAAGGCCAAAAATCTGAACCCCACGGAGGACCCACCAAAAGAACATTCACCTTCTCAACGTCCAGCGAGATTCATGATTTCAGAGAACACAGTCTCCGACTACAATCCCTCATTGCTGACCGTTGATCTTGACACGTTTTCAACTGACCTTGTAAATACTTCATCATCATCGGTGGTCGTTGCCTCTCCATGTGGAAGAGGAACAGAGGGACTGGCCAACGCCGCCGGGAGCAACCCACCATCTCCGTGAGCTATCTTCTCAGCAGCCTCTTGAAGTTGCAGAGCAAACTCAAGGCCCCACACAACATCATTCATTCCTGGACGATCGATCCCATTATCCCGAAAGCAACTATCACCTACTTCGCCAAACATCCTCAAACACTCTGGCGCAATCTCACCCTTTAGATTAGGATCAACAATCCGATCAAGGGTCCCTTTTCTATAAGAATTTTGGCCCACTCAGCCAAACTCACTTGCTCCTTCGAAAAATTTGGAACTATAGCTGGTCTAGCACATAAAACCTCAAATAAAACAATCCCAAATGAGTACACGTCAGATTTTTTTATTGTGTATAATATTCTAGATCAACATACCCGAAACTATCCTTCACCAATATACTAACGTGGCTATGACCCACATCCTTGGGACTCAGTTTGAATAACCCGAAATCAAAAATCTTAACTCCCATTTCTCATCAAATAAAATTAAAATGTTGGTGGACTTCGCATACATCACGGTGAATGATTGTGCGTTTCGCACTTGTGTGGAGATAATGTAGTCCCCTTGCTGCGCCAATGCAAATCTGAAGGCATTGTTTTCACGGAAGAGGTTGTTTCTTTTATTTGTAAAGATGATCACGGAGGGTACCATTGGCCATATAATCATACACTAAGATCATCTTACGGTTGTCCTTACAATAACCGATCAACGACACCAGATGGAGGTAGCGTAACTTCGATAGCATACCGATCTCTGTTTGGAACTCACGGGCCCCTTGATTTGGTGATTGGTTCAATCGTTTGATCGCAATGGTGGTTGCACCGTTGTCGATGTGGCCTTTATATACATTACCAAATCCTCCTGCCAAGTTGCATGCAGCAGATGTGATCTCCTCAAGTGAAAAGCGTCTACATAGATCACACGATAGTGATGAACCGCTGGTTTTTGTGGACTTTGAACCGTCAGATAAGGGGACCCACGACGACTTGGGCTGTGTTGAGCCCAAGTCTTTCACTCTCATCCGTCGTCGGAAAATCAAGAAACCCAAGATCAAGACTAGAACAGACCCTCCTCCGACTACGCTGCTGATAATGACCGGCAACCTAGGTGCTTTTTTATTGTTCTTCTTCTGCGGTGACAAGGTGAATGGTCCCGGCGGTGGACTGAGTACAAGTTCAGGGTTTGCCCCTGCCAGACTATCGTCTGTTCTATTCAATTTGAAGATTTCTAAACCATTCAATATAGCATCACCGTACTCGGGTCTAGAGTCGAGCTCAGGGTACATAGCGAGCCACAAGTCTTGCTTGTTCCGGCAACCATCTGGGTCGGTGACCATGATGACGTATTCTTTGAACACCGGGATTCCAGTGCCACCACTCCAGTGGATAACATCTGCTCTTCTCTGTGCCGTTTGATTGTTGATGTATATTATAAAAACCCTTTGGTTCTTCAAGGTCACCTCCAATTGAATCTCGCAGAAATGGAGTCTGAGAAGATAATAAAACCCAGAATCAACAGGAAATCTCCATGTCAGATTGTATGTTAGACTTTGGTTGCCCATGGTCCTTGTGGTTGTGTAAACGATCTTCGGTGCAGTGTAAGGTGGTGTGTCCTTTGTATACTGGATTGGGACTTCCCTGTGAGGTGTAAACCCATAAGCTGTGTAGGTGTAATTGTCGTCCGGAAACAATAAACGAAACATNGGTTGCCCATGGTCCTTGTGGTTGTGTAAACGATCTTCGGTGCAGTGTAAGGTGGTGTGTCCTTTGTATACTGGATTGGGACTTCCCTGTGAGGTGTAAACCCATAAGCTGCGTAGGTGTAAGCATCGTCCGAAAGCCATAAACGAAACATTCCGGTATCATTGGTTATTGAGACCTCATTACCGCCAACATTTAATCGATAGAGAGTCTCAAGAACAGAGCTGTTATCAATGAAAAAAATTTGGTTCTGGCTCACTAGTGGGATTTGATGATCACTGCTGCCATGAATGTAGAGATTTTCTNCAGAGGTGTTATCAATATTGAATGATATTTGGTTCGGGACTAGTGGGATTTGATAATCACTGCCGCGAATGTAGAGATTTTCCGGCATTGAAACGACTTCAATGCCATTAACGAAGGCGTAAGAGTTCAGAGACGGCAAAAAGGTTATGTCCGGTATCTGGTTGCTCCTAACGTTGACGATGAATTCCTTTCTTAGGGAAGCAACTGCGGGTTTCATGGCAGAGACGGTGAGAAAGGCACTTGAGACATTTTCAAGTACTCTAAGATGAAGATACGTGTTCTTAGTATCAGTAAATTTTTTTTCTATAAATGCGACACGTATCCGTCGGATCACAAGTTCCTATTTCATAGGGATCAATGACATTCAGTACGTTACATACCGACACGTATCCCTCGGATCGGATAAGGTACGTCGGTCCCTACATGTACCATTCTCCCATTGGTATCGAGATGTACCCGTTCAGGATGACGTTCTCTACTCCTACAGAGGCTATTGATGTATAGGTCATTAGCCTAGGTTAGGCTAGGTTAGCCATCATGACCTCGTCTTACACAATTGGTGTTAGAAAGCATAAGATGGCAGATGACACAACCAATGAGAAATAGACGCGTGACATATTGTGTCATATCAGAGACAAAAAAGATCGGATGACCTTGTTGATACACGACTTGAGAAAACAAGCATTTAATTACATCATTCCCTTGATGAGACAACATTTAATGCGGTAAGGCTCGGAAGTGAAAGGTAATAAATGTCCCTAAGGCCGGACATTTATTACATCCTTACCGAGAGGAGCTCATTAAACAGTCGGCAGGCCGATGACACAGCCTTGATTGCTCAGGATCCCAAGCAGTTAAAAGAGAAGACATTTCTCATAGGAATCAGTGCGCATATTGCCCGTATCTAATGATCACCTACTGACAGCAATCATNGATTGCTCAGGATCCCAAGCAGTTAAAAGAAAAGACATTCCTCATAGGAATCAGTGCGCATATTGCCCGTATCTAATGATCACCTACTGACAGCAATCATGAGTATTTGAGGTATAAATACTCCTCACAAAAGACAGAATAGGGAGAGGTGAAACATTTTCTCAAACATATACTCAGTATTTTCTTTTTCCTCTCCCTCAAAAATTGATTTAATCGTCGGAGGGGATACGCTGAAAAACACTCCAGCGCCTTTTTAACTTTTTTTTTTTTTGTTTCAGGAACCTTCCTTAGCCTTACTGGATCGTTCTGTTGATCCACGAAGGTCTCCCATTATCGTTCTAGATTAACACCGAACCTCACAGGCTGTTCCAAGCAGTAGAGTTGACCACTCGATTGATTCACTCGAGTTCACAAAGGGAGAGATCTGTTCTCGTATTTATATTGTGTAAGATCCAGCACGCACAGCACTGAGGTTGCTTAAGAGGGTCTAGCCGTCGGAGGTGACGGCGAAGAAAGAGTTGGCTATGTCCAGGTTAGAGTAATTAATTGGGTAGAAATAGAGACGAATGAATTTTGGATAGGCGGAGATTGGGAAGGTGTAGGTAAATGGAGAGGGAAAGATACGAGCAGTCATGTAGGGGACTTGATTGACAGAAAGGTCTTGCTTGGATACTGTAGATTCGGAAGATGTGTTTGAAATGTTTGACGGCGAGAATTTGGAGCGGGCATCTCCGCTCCAGGTCCGGCCGTCGGCATCGTTCAAACTAGAAGATGAACCATAGTCGAGGAAAAAGTAGTCGCTTGGAATGTAAGGTGGCGCGTTGGCAGTGTCGCCGATGACAGCGGTGACGGCGGTGGTGTTAGAGAAGAGGACGTAGAGAAAGAAGGAGATGTGCAGAGTTATGGTGAACATGGGTGGTACGAGCTTCGAAAGATATGGTGTATGATGGTGGTGAGTCTGGTGACTGATGATGAAAAATATCATTAAATACTTGTAGTAGAAGACTCCATGAACTTGCGAAGTCTTTGGTTTTGGATTGATTCTTGGGCGGCAATAACCCGTTCCCAAGTCAGCATTCATATTTTTTTCCACAAGGCCTGCTTTTCAAATTCATCAATGATATTTTTATGGGAGTTCAAATGAGCCACTTTTAGATAATTTATAAAATTCAACTAATGTTAATCAGATTTAAAAAATTGATATAATTTATTAATATAATAATATATACGTCATGGAGTCTCAATCAAAAAATTAAAAAGTTGTAATCACAATAACTCTATTAAACCATGTTATTGTCATATCATCAGGTCAATAAATAAGTTAATTTTCTAAATAACAATGGTATTACTAATTGAGTTCAATTCAAAAGTTAGTTTAAGAGTAATGTTATTGAAATTTAAAAATTTAATTCAATTTGTTAACCTAATAATGTGATTTCATTGTAATCGTTTGGTTACTAACATATTTTAATGTTGAATAAGATTCATAATCAACCCAACGATTATAGTGAATTAAGTCGGTAAAATAAGTCAATAAACTAGGTCTCACTAACATTCTCGAGAGACTATCCCAATGGTTGCTCTTTACGAGGTTAATAAATCTAAGGGATTTCATTACTATAGCGAAAAAAAAAATTATAAATGTGATAAAAACATCTATAAATATAACAAAACATCCACAAATATCGTAAATTTTTTTGTATAAAAAAATTGGTAAAATAATTACTACAAATGTAATAAAAACACTCACAAAAATGCTAAATCACATGCAAAAATGATAAATTTTTTAGTCGTAAAATAATCCGAAAAAGTTATAAAAACACCCATTAAAATGATAAAATAACCCACAAAAATTATAAAAATATCTAATACAATGGTAAAAGTTAGACGTACAATAACAAAATTATTTTTTTTGGTACCGTAATCAAATCAAAATCTAAGATAAAGGAAAAGAGAAATGAAGGGATGCCCCTCTGGCTTCTTTCTCCTGTTGAACTACTTTGTTCCGGTCACCAGGAAACATACCATAAGTGCTCAATAAGGGAGGGAGTTTGCACTGCCGTGTGAAATCCTCCGGTCAAAGTTTAATGTTTGGCACACCACTACGAGAATGATATAAGATAGATCACACTGCTCAAGTATTAAAATGTGGATGAGAAATGAATGGCCATCAATAAACTCCTAGTGGCGTGAAATTTTCAAATAGATCCTAAAAATTTTTTAAATTGTAGTAGGGACAACTGTCCCATTCTAGATTCGTCCCTACAAGATTCATTTGTATTATGTATGATGATACTAAAAATTAGTTAAATCTAAGATCAGACTAGAAGTAGATCAGGAACTTACCCCCCTAATAGGGGACCCACATGACAATGCCAAACTCGAGCAATTCAACTCAGAGATCTCAATCCCAGTTCAGATCTTCGAGTTCAAATCTCATCACAGGTCTTCAAGGTCAATAACCATTGCCGACGTGACCCCCATGCACACTACGACAACAACATCTCACACTTTTTAGAAGATCACATCTCACCCCAGGAATACAGTTTCTATCAGCTAAAGATCCCACCTTATGAGTCACAACAACCCCAAAGGTATTACGATCACGATCGTTACACAAGGATTACGATGATTACGCAGAAATCATGTAGAGAACGCTATAAATAGGGATCAATCCCACGTTTTGTAGCCAAGCCTAAGAGTTTACTTTCTGCAAAAACCTTGCAATCTTCTTCAAATAATACCAAACTCTCTCAGGAGCATAATACTCCATTAGAGTGAATTAACTAAACTAAACTTTTGAGCCGGTAAACCACTATAAATCTCATGTCTATCAAGTTTCACTGATTGTTATTGTATCTGTGATTAACTGTTCAACACTACGAGCCTAGTAGCTCTAACTGGATGTCCCAATGAATCCCCATAGTCGTTCTTCACGAATTTCAAGTCCATTTTCCTTTTTTTGAATCTCGAACTCAGCCACTCAATCACGTAAACCACACCATCAATGTGATTCGCTTTTAAATTTACAAAGAATGATCTACAATTAATAGAAATTGAAAAAAACTATGAGAATACAAATCTTATTTAAATGAGTGAATTCCGGCAATTTTGAACAGTTACTATATTTAATGAAAAAAAATAAAAAATATGATTTGACCCAAATAGTATTGGAGGTTAGGATGGTTTGATGTTTGATAGAGAAAGTGTTTGATGGTAGTGAGTGGTGAGAACTCAAGGGGAACAAAGGTAATCGTAGAAGACTGCGTGGACTTAGAAATCTTTGGATTGTGATTAATTTATATATGTTGAATGCCACTTAAATTTATAATTAATGGTTTATGATTCAAAAAATTGACGAAAAATATATGAGAGTTAAAGTGGGCGGATATTGGATAATTTCGGGTTATTAAATTATATAAGGAGAAAGAAAAACAAAGTGGTTAGGCTACTATGGTCTTTAACCCAACACGTGTTTGACGTAGGTTTTGCTTTAGCTAGGCTTGTTAAATGATTTGTGTAGTTCAAGTCCGCCTCACTTTTAAACTTATTAATATCATTAAATAAACCGAATTTTAATCAAAATTTTAAACTCTTTTAAAAAACAAATCGAATTTGAGTAACATGTATCTCAAAAAAATTCAGCTCGACTCAAATAGGTTGCTTATCTATAAATGATTCTTATTTTACTACCAAGCAAACTCTATTCGAAATGTGGACAACCCCAAAACTATCCACTAATAACTCCAGGCTCTATGCATTCTCTTTCCTTCTGTCTTTGCTAATAGATTTTTTGAAGAACTAAACTTTATGGTTGATTAAATATATTTTGAAAGATGTTTAAAACAACATGAGGATTAATTACTATGTTCTACAGTAAATTTTTTTGCTGAAAAGTTGGGCTCGATTTGGAAACTAATATATACTTGAAAACTCATACTGGGTTGAGCTCGAGCTCTACTTCTAACCGAGCTATGAATTCAGTAGTACTTGATGGTGTAAAAATCAAGAAGAGTGAGGGAGAAGAGTTGAACGAGCTCTTGATGAGGTGTGTTAGACATGTAATGCAAAGTGAGTTAGAATGTATAAGAAATTAAGTGGTTCACCCATGTGAAGAGATGAGTTAATCTAGTGTAATAGAAGTTCTTACTCCTTAGTATTGTTTAAGGAAAAACAAGGTTACAGACTAAGGTTTCTTGCTTATGAGTGTTGGCCCAAGGTAACATATATCCATGCCTTTTCTACAAAATAATGGTGTAATCCTAACAAACTTGTCAAAGAATATTTGGCCATTAAAGGATTTCCTCCTAAATGTGACATGGCTTTTTAGAAAAGTTATGTGATTTTCTAAACGTTGTGACTTCTTGTCTAAGATAGGCTTTGCGGGTGAGAGTACTTTTTAATCACTAGTAGTAAAATCTAAATCTACTAAGTATATTGTTATATGCTAACTATTTAATAAAAATAGAATTTTAATAACTAGAAACTGAAACAATGCACTTAGAGTCTGAGAAGATAATAAAACCCAAAATCAACAGGAAATCTCCATGTCAGTTTGTACTTTTGACTGTCGTTGCCCATGGTCCTTGTGGTTGTGTAAACGATCTTCGGTGCAGTGTAAGGTGGTGTCTCCTGTGTATATCGGATTGGGACTTCCCTGTGAGGTGGAAACCCATGAGCTGTGTAGGTGTAATCGTCGTCCGAAAGCCATAACCGAAACATTCCGGTATCATCGGTTATTGAGACCTCATTACCGCCAACATTTAATTGGTAGAGAGTCTCAAGAGCAGAGCTGTTTTCAATGAAAAATTGTTGCTTCTGGCTCACTAGTGGGATTTGATAATCACTGCCGCGAATGTAGAGATTTTCCGGCATTAAAACGACTTCAATGCCATTAACGAAGGCGTGAGATTTCGGAGACGGCAAAAAGGTTATGTTCAGTCTCTGGTTGTTCCTAACGTTGACGATGAATTCCTTTCTTAGGGAAGCAACTGCGAGTTTCATGGCAGAGACATTGAGAAAGGCACTGAAGTTGCTAAAGAGGGTGTAGCCGCCGGAGGTGACAGAGAAGAAAGAGTTGGCTATGTCCAGGTCAGAGTAATTAACTGGGTAGAAATAGAGACCAATGAATTTTGGTCCGGCGGAGACTGGGAAGGTGTAGGTGAATTGAGAGTGAAAGATACGAGCAGCCATGTAGGGGACTTGATTGACAGAAGGGTTTTGCTCGGATGCTGTAGATTCCAAAGATGTGCTTAGCCAGAACTTGGGGGGTGCATCTCCGTCCCAGGTGCAGCCGTCGGTATCGTTAGAACTAGAAGATGAACCACAGTTGAGGAGAAAGTAGTTGCTTGGAATGTAAGGTGGCGAGTTGGCGGTGTCGCCGATGGCAGTGGCGGTGGTGGAGAAGAGGAGGTAGAGAAATAAGGAGATGTGTAGAGTTATGGTGGACATGGGTGGTATGAGCTTTGAAAGATATGGTGTATGATGGTGGTGAGAGGTTATGTACAGAAGAAAAGTACAGGTAGCTAGTACTGCTAGAAGACTGCATGGACTTGGAAGACTTTGGTTTTGGATTGATTCTTCGGCGGCTACAACAGGTTCCCAAGTCAGCCTCATATTTTTTAGCACGAGGCCTAGTTTTCAAATTGAGCGGTGATTCGTAAATTTAAAAATTAGGTTTGATAATATTAATTATTTTATAGATAATAAATTTTAATAAATATTAGGATCTATAGTGAAATTAATTATTAAAATTATCAAGTCTAGCATTTAAATCTACTTTTTAAATCCATGTAATATTGCTCTTTCAAATTTGTCAATGATATTTGGGAGAATTATAATAAGGCTTTCTAAAATTTGTCATTTAATCACTCAAATTTTTTAACATTTAAAATGTTATACATAGTTTGTTAAAGTTTTTACTAGCGTAACACTTTGATCCCTATCATCAATATCCGTTAGTAAATTGCAACCAAACCCCCTAAAATTTGTAAATGTGTAATACTTAGACTTCTCAAATTTAAAATGTTATATTTAAATCAAAAATATTTCAATCAAAGATAAAATATCAAATATCAAATATTTTAAATTTTACAACTAAATTTTTTGTTCTATTAGAACATTTATTGAAATAAAATTAAAATTAAAAATATTTTTTTCTTAAAAAATCATAATTGCTATATAATTATAATATCTATTAGAATTTAGTTTGGTCGTTTTAATGACCAAATTAAACTATCAGATTACCTCAATTAATGTTAGAATATATTATTTTTATTACAGTTTGACCCTATGTTTGATTTTTTTTTTTAGTTTTATTGCTGTAGATAGTATAATTGTACATTAAACACGATTTTTTATGAAAAAATTAAATTTTTATTTTTATTTTTATTTTAATAAAAGACATAATAGAATATAAATGTTGGTTATAAAATTCATGTTCTATTATGAATAACTTAGACTCCTTGTTTAATTTTTTAATTTTATATCAACAAATAGTATAATTGTATATTAATTATAATTTTTTAAAATAATTTGACTTTTTATTTTTGATTTTATTTGAATAAATGATACAATATAACATGAATTTTAGTTGTAAATTTAAAATATTTGATATTCTATCTTTAATTGGAGTATTTTTGATCTAAGTATAATATTTTAAACATAAAGGATCTGTGTATTATATGTTTACAAACTTTAGGGAGTCTGAGTGTAATTTGCTAACGGATATATTAACAGATATTTGACGAGAAAGGTCTAAGTGTTACGTGCGTACAAACTTTAGAGGTCTATAAGTAATATTTTAAATATCAGAGAATTTGAATGATTAAGTGACAAATTTCAAGAGATAAGAATGTAATTCTTCTATGATATTTTTATGGGAGTTCAAGTCAGCCACTTTTAGAAAAATTTTATTGAATTCGACTAATGTTATTTAGACTTATAAAAGGTGGATTGGAAATTAATTACGTGTGTTAAATTGTATGATATTTACTTACTAGCAATACCCTGTAACTAAATTTACTATCCACTGAACTATGAAACTGTGCATGTATTAGAATGTCTATATAATGCACCCGTGTGTGTGTATGTGTGTGCAAATGCGTGTTGTGGAGTGTGTGTATGTGCGTGTAGGTGTGCGTTGTGGAATATGTGTTAAATTTGTGAAATTTGAGGGAAAAAGGATGTATTGGGTGTGTGAAATTTTGGGAGAAAACTTTATCTCCTTAAATTCAAATACCTTATGAATTTATTATATAGATATATCTGTTAATATATGTATATATTAATTTTATATATAGATATATGATAATAAAATATATATTTATACTTTTTCTATTCTTGCACTTTTTAATTCTACCAAACACAATTGAGAAAATGAATGACTCATCATTTGAAGGATAAAAAATGTATCACTTCCACTTTTTATCCAATCATTTTTTCATTCCATGGCCAACTCAACTCATAGGCAGCTAAATTGCTTGCTTGACGCCCCAAATTTTAGAGGGCCTCATAAATATTTATCCCTTTAGTATAGTGAATCTAATTTTTTATTTTTTTAAATTTTAAATATGTTTGAAAATTTTAAGGTCCAAATTTAATTAGTTTAATTCAATATCTAATTTTGTTAGGTCTAAAATTACTCTCTACTTAATTAAGCATAAATTTTAGAGGACCTCTATAAAATTTACCACTTTAGTATAATATGCTTTTTTTATATTTATTTTTTGTATTTTACATATGATTAAAATTTTTAGAGCCTAAATTTTAATAGTTCAAATCAATATCTAATTTTTTTAGATCCAAAATTACTATTTTGTGTGAGCTTTAATTTAAGTTTTTCTAACTCTGCTGGGTGTGTTGCTAGTTGCATTCCACTCACTCACTCACATAGAAAATTTATATACATTATTTCTTATGATGAAAATCAATAAAATTAGTTCATTTTTTGTCTTAATATAAATTTTCAATACAAATAATTTGTGCTTTAATTGTCTTTGTTATCAAAGTTTTGTACTTCATGCGTCCACATTACTCATGGAAAAAAAATAATTTTTTGTTATCTTAAAATTATTATTTGTTCACATATTTTATTATTCAATTACTTATTAAAAATTTAAATTAATAAAAAAAAATTTGTGATCAAGTGAGAGCGAATGAATTAACTATTAAAAAAATTAATGTCAAAACTTGAATATAAAAACTTGATCAATATTTTTATATTTCAAAAAATAAATAAAAGTAATTTTTAAGAAACAAAAAATTTATAATAATTAAAAATATAATATATTAATAGACAAAATATTAATGAGCTATCATATGAAATTTTTGTCTAAAACCCCACTTTACCTTGGGCTGCCCAGCCTTGTTTCATCAAGCGCACTTATAAACTTGGATTAATCAGACCACAAAATAAAGAGAGGAACAAAAACTGATTTTTCCTTTACTCCCTTAAACACTTATTACAAGAAATTTTGAAAGCTCCAGGCCAACGTACATATTACCTTCAACGTGCATGCTCATCAAAGACCGTCTTTATTCTTTAAGGAAATTTAATTGTGGGTACAACTTGAAGAATTTATTTGATTTTAAGTACACAACTCAGACTTTTAATCCATTAAGTCTTCCTATGTCTAAAATTTCGGTCAATAAGAAGACATTCCAGTTTTTTTTTGGTATTACCAAACTATCCCGAACTTATTTCATGCATAAATAGTTTCCTTTTCTTCAAATATGTAATTATTATATAAGAGATTTTCAAACTTTTGTGATTCCAAAAACCGTTTGAATTTTGAAACTTATTTCTCAAAAATTCTGTCATTAACAGTCCAACTTCATATTATTCAACTATTGACATTTTGCGAAATAGAAGCCAGAATTGTGTTTTATTCGGCCATTATTTATTTTTTTTCGAACCAGAAACTAGGTTTTTTCAAAAATTCTGTCATTAACAACCGAGTTTCATATTATTTAGTCATTGACATTTTGCGAACTAGAGATGTTGTGTGTTGTTCAGCCATTGTTGTTTCTTCATTATCAGGTGAGAAATTTTCATTTAATTACTTTTTTTTGTTGTTGTTGTTTGTTCTTAAGCTATAGAATTTCTTTTTCGAACCAACAACAAAATCTTCCTTCGTCAATCATATACAATTGTTCGAAGTTGTAATTGAATCAAATTGATGTTATCTTATGCATAAAGACATTTTTTTTGGAAACAGGTTGTAATTGGAGTATATTTTCTTCAACTACCACTCACTGGAACTTTTTGTTCTATATTGTGCGTCATATTTATCCACATTCATGGTTCATTCACTTTGATTAATGTTTTACAAACCCTTCTGTTGAGATGTTTCAACGTCTTGTGCTGTCACTGGTTCCCTATGCTTGAGTTCATATTATTTTTAGAAGATACATTTTTTTTGCCATGTCTTAGGAAAAGTTATACTACTTGTATAATAATATGAAAACAAACAAGTGAATCTACACAAAACACAAAACACAAAAAAAAAAAAACTAGTATAATATAATGACAAAGGGTGGTACAATGTTTGCTTGTAATTATAGTGACCAAGCCATGAAATCAGTTTGTCACTCTATTTTGTCTCTCTATAACACAATCTAATGTTTGTTGTACTATGTAGTGGTCAAGCCATGAAATCAATTGTCACTCTATAGTGTCTCTATATGAACACAAAACAGTGTCTGTAATGGACAACCAATAAAATCAATTTTTTACTTTATAGTGTCTCTCTATTGTTTGTGTTTGATTGCAATGTGGTAGCCTTAAAGTGTAACAACAAAGAGTGAATCCACACATAACTCCCAAAAATTAAAGCTTGGAACTCAATTCTCAAATCTAGCCTAATAGTGTCACAACAAAGAGTGAATGAACATATAACGCCTAACAATGAAGATTGGTGCTCAAACCACAAAGCTAACCTAATTGTATTACACCACAAAGTGAATCCACCCTTAACACATAAACTATGAAAATTAGTACTCAATTCAATAAGTTATTGTGATAATGTGATAGAAAAGAGTGCATCCACACATAAATACAAAAAATTGAAAATTGACACTCAATTCACAAAACTAGGGTAAAAGAGTGACAACAAAGAATGAATACACAATTGGAGAGACTTTGGGCGGTCCTACGGCCCCCAGATTGACACGTGTGAAGATGGATCCGTTGCAAAGGCCCGATAGGCGCCGAGGAGGTAAGTCGAAAGATAACGGCTCGGAGAAGCCGAGTACAACAGTTGGCACCGCATTTAATACGACTTGACTACTTATTTATGGCGATATGAGTGATGGTGACCATATATTAATGAGCACCTACACATTAATTCAGAATCTGAGCCTATTATCATGATGGCTAGGCATAGATGGCTAGTACGCCGAATGTACACATTCGACTCCCCCGGAGGAACTGTTCTCCCGAGTATTCTATGCTTAGTTGCGGGTGTCAGACTCCAATCTGAGGGATGTGGGTACTCGGGGGCAGGCATAAATGCTCGGCATAAAGCTGAGCACTCGTCCTATCATCCTAGTGTCGAGTAGGAGAAGACTTGAGTGGCCAACACTCATTGTGCAGGAGGAGGTGTGTCAGACATTAA